AAGGAACATAATTTTTAAATGGAGAAAAAAAGTAAATTATATTCACAATTTTATGTCCGTGAGTGCCATTTACTTGTGGAAATCTGCTATCCACAGCCCTTATTCAATGTCTATTTGATTATTCGTCTTCATTGTGGTATGTTGGTATATCAAAGAAATATCAACATAAATTTCAGATTGTTCAAAATAAAATAGTTAGATTCATTAATAAGAAAGGCCCCCGGATTCATGTTGGTCAACATGAGCTAAATAAGTTAGGATTCTTGAACGTTGATGATAGAGCAAGGTTTCTAAAATTATGTCACGTAGGCCTATATAAAGTTTTCACAATAGTAGCCCACAATACATACATTACAACTTCCACAGAATTGTTCATTCCCACAACCATAACACCAGAAACAGTTCATACAATTTCAGAATTCCCACTTAATCTTCCAAAACATTTTTTTATAAGGCTATCTAGTATTGAAACGCTTTGCCTCAATCAATTAAATGTAACCCGGCTATCTACTCTTTTAAATTAAATGTTAAAAAATATCTGAAAAACAAAGCACTACAGATTGAACAACTATAAAAATAATAAAAATGATAATAATAATAATAATAATAATAATAATAATAATAATAATAATAATAATAATAATAATAAATTAAAAAAAGCGAAAATGAAACATCCTCGTTTGGTTTACTACATTTTGGCTATATTGCTAATTTTTAAAAAATGTTTTTATGTCTAATATACACTGTGGTTTTATTTTAAGGACCCTATTGTAAATAAGTCTTACTTGGACTTTCAGTTCCTCGCATCTCTGTATTTTGTGTGTTTTTCCTGTTCCAGCCTCTTTTTTCGTAATTTGACCTTGTTTTTTGAAGTAGTTAAGATTTTTTAAATTATTTAAATAAAATAAATAAGATATTTTTCATAATTGAATTTTAAAAGTAATAGTAAAAATTATTGTTTATTAGATTAATGTTAATTATTTAACCTTGTATACATTTTTTATATTGTTTTATGTATCTTACTATGTATATTGGGATGCAAATAAATTCAATTAGCCCCAGTGAGAGCTGGAGCTGTTACGCCACAGCCTTACCTACTTACCTAATATACCTATTGCAATAAGTGACTTGCGTGTCTTGTATTAATTTGCAAGTCATTCAAAAACTTGTTCAGTCTTTATAATATCCTTCAGGTTACTTCATTTCCTAAAAATAAAAACAATACAGTACTCTGAACAATGAGAGACTCGACCGCCGTGTGAATAATAAAATAAATAATATCCGTTTCTAGATTTGTGAATCTTTTTTTATGGTGGATTTACAAGGTAGTAATTATATAATAATTCATTAGTATCTCAATATTAATCAAGATAATGGCGGTGATGATGATAATTATGATTATATCGACGATGGCGATGCTACAATCCATTCATGAGTGTATAACAAACAATTCAATGTCAATTAGTACTGATAGACATAATATATATAGTTGACTGTTGATGACAATGATGATTTTAATAAGAAGAAGAAGAAGAAGAAGAAGAAAAAGAAGAAGAAGAAGAAGAAGAAGAAGAATATACTACATTTTGTAATGATGGCACCGATGTTGATGGGAATAATGTAGACAGGCCAGTAGCCAGGGGGGGGGGGCTTTTATGGTTCGGGCGAACCCCCCTTTTCTAGCGAACCCCCTCGAATTTTTGAATGAGTCCCACTCGGACGGAATGTCTGTTTTTAACTTACCCAGTATTAAATCAAAATTTAGCACCTAATTCATTATTTGGTCGCCCGTTTCTAAATTCTAGTCTGCGATACAAGCCTTCATTCATAGAATATCTCAGCTTCAGAAGTTCGGAGATTTAAATTGAACGAACTCTGGCAAACCATGAATTTACGATGGCTCTCATATAATGATGGCAAACATCGATAAAAACCCGGCTCCCGTCTCAACTTTGACTGGTCTTTGCCTGAATGTTTGTAAGAAATGTACCAACCGGTAACGAAACCGGTCGCCCTCTACCTAGAGTAAATGGCGCCACTAAAACGAAGCTAACGTTTTGCTTAATCCACCAAATGCAGCTAAAGTTTTGCGACTTAATCACCTGATTGTGGATTGTGTGGTTAGTAAATTCCATAGCCACATTGTCCACAGCGAACACTAACCTATTTGCTGATGGAGCATTTTTGGGAAATTGATTCTCCTTTTTTCCATCCCAAACAAAATATTATTAATGTCAACATGGTCCATCTCAGTCATCATAGCCAGTCACAAAATTAGGAGATAGTTTTCAACAGCAGACACACACAACAGAACGGAGTACGTCAAAACGAGTGTTTGTTAATTTTTAGTGATAAAGAATTATGAAACGTCGTAGAATAACTGACTTTTTTTCGTCCACTGTGGCAAAGAAGTAAACCACAGATAGTCCTTTAAGGTGGGTTATTTTCACAAAAACGTGATGCAAAATATTCTAATCAATTTTGATATAGCCGGAGTTAGTTCCGACCTAGGCAAACTTTTTCTAAAAAGGTACACTTTCTCCATCAAAAGGCTTCTTCTATGAATGGAATGACCTGTTCGAAGCACGAACGCCTGTAGACCAAACCCAGTACCGTTACGATGTTTAATGGTACAAGAAATCCACTCACGATGCAGTACCGTTACGATTTTTAATCTTACGGGAAATCCACTCACAAAATATTTTCTAATTTTATTATATTACCACCTTTTATTACATAGATCCTTTTCAAAACATAACTGCTTTTATAACCTTATATACACCCATTAAACACAAAAACTGACCCTTAGTCAGACCCCTGGATCCCACGTCCAGAGAACCCCTTGAAATGACCTGGCTACGGGCCTGGAAATGATAGTGATTTTATAACTTTTTTTTTTTTTTTAAAGAAATCCATTCAACAAACAACATAAAACATCTACATATCAAAGTTATTAGGTTAAAGTTTTCATGTCGGTGCATGCATAAAGCCGGTTTTCCACTAAGAGAATTTATTTGCGCGAATCGAAAGCGTCGGTTCACGTTCCTATCGGAGTTTTTGCGAAGCGAAAAAATGCGCAACCAATCAGAGCTCAGGAAACAAACCGACGCTTTGATTCGCGCGAATAAATTCGCCTAGTGGAAAACCAGCTTAATACGTAATTTCCTAAAATTTGGTTATATGAGATTAATATATACAATTTAACGAGTGGACTTCCTTGATTTAAGGAAATAATTATATATATGTATATTGAGATACGCAAAGTTAAGTAGGTTGGAAGTTTAAAGGAGAGGACTTCCTTATGTTGTGGTCATTAGACTGCAATAATATCATTAAAAACCAATCGACATAAAACATACCGAAATTATTAAGTTAAACTTTCTATTTCGGTGCATGAATATAACGTAATTTTGGGATATATGAGATTTACATAACATTTGAGAATGTACTGAATATAAAATCTTAAATATTTTACATTTTAATTAGCATTCTATCAGAAATACGGGGATTGGTTATACTGTAAAGCCTTCAGAACAACCTCTGCAATACTAAAATTGGGATCCAACAGGCAGTGAATATTCCATTTTGATTTAGTGTAGATGTTTCTTACGTATTTTTAATTTTATTTGAATTCTTTTTATTTTGTACAATTCATATGTTATATTTTCCACACACAGATAAATGAATGCCTGAACTGATATTTCTCCATGATAAAACGTCTCTTTGTTATTTTTTTTTTCAATTTCCAGACTACTGAGCCCCTAAAGGGTCATGGTTAAAGAAAATATTAAACTATTTCGAGG